CTGGAATGAGACAGTAGCTCTGGAGGCATGCCTGTAAAGGCAAAGCCTATGGAATACTCAGTACTATTCACAAGCCAGAAATCTGCTACCAACTTCAATTCTGTCCTGCTCATATACTACAACATTTTATTTTAAAAAACACCCCGAGGAAAGTGCTGTTTCACCTGGTGCCAGGGAAGGGGGAACTCCTCACACGACCGAACAAGCCCCAGTGAACAGAGTCTGGCGCGTCCTCTCTGATGTGCACCAAGTGAGGCTGGTCCCTGGGCTGCGCGCTGACAGGTCCACTTCTCCCCAGGCCTTGCTCAGACCGCTCCCGAAGCCTGAACCTCCTCCCCTGCTAATGTCTGTAGAACGCCTGCTGGCATTCAAGGGTCTCTCTTTAATTTGTCTCAATAAAGCCTTCCACAAAATCTTATTCTGGGATCACAGGATCAATGCTCTGAACCTACATAGGTAGTATTTAATGATATTCGATTTAAAATGTCATGCCACGATTTCTGTTCTTTATTGACTTCAAATTAAGCTACATAATGGGAAATTGTTTAGATCAGCACTAGACTTCTTCAGAAATAGAACATATCAATAAATCTTTAGTAACCATCATAATGCTAAAAAAAAGTCACAAATTTAAATCACTAAATGCGATACTTCATCGTGAAAAATAGCATTTCTTTCCAAAGACACTTTTAAAAAAATCTAGTCCATCCTTACTTTTCCTACATTCATAATCTTATTACACACCCAAAACCCTTTCAATGCCAAGGACTCATTGGTGAACATCCTTTACTAGGGCCTCCACGGTCCTCTTATCTGTGCCTTTGTACCTCCATCTTAGATTAGTTACAGTCAGACGAGAAGTAGGACTTGGTGCTTTATTCCATCTGCCTAAACTGCATCGTATTGAAGAGAAATGAAAAGTTTAAGTGTTCAAAGGCCCAGCCATTTGAAAAAGGAAGACTGCGCTTCAGTTGTGGTTCCTTTGTACGGGCTGGGCTATGGCCTCGATCGCGTCGGTGAGGTCACTAAAATCCTTTTTTATTTAAGTTTATAAAGTATTTAGAAAAGAAGAAAGGCAAACAAAACCACAGGATAATTCATGTTAGTAACTTTATACACAGATCCTAAGGAGACTTGCAAGGCTAACTTCTACTTTACGTCCCTTATACATGTTTGGGGTTTTAATGAGAATAAAAATGATTTATTAAGCCTATATTTGTTTAATCAGTGGTTCAAGTCAGCAAGTACTTAAATACTGAGGGACATTATTTCTTACATAAAAGTTTCTCAATTTATAAAACGTTTTCTATTGACAGATAAGGCACAGAAAAATGCTGGTGACATCTGCTAAGCTTTACTTATGAAAACTTAAAGAAACCCTACGGGATAACATCACTCCATTTTTCCTGGAGCACTTCTGACGGAGACTTCCTAAAAAGAATCTGGAAATAATTAGAAACTATTATAGTACCTAAAAAAGTTTACTTGAAAACTAAATCTGCTATTCATCAAAGAACCCAACACACTCAGGCTAAGGTAATGGTCAAACAAGGTGCACGTACAGAAGAATGGAAAGCACCGGACCTGCGTCTGATTGTAAAAACTTTCAAGTTTAGAGAAGACAGCTTCAGACCGGTGTCAGACTGAAGAACTCTGTAAGAAATGCTGTACTTAAATAACGAAACAAGGATTTTGTCAAAATAATGTTATTTTTTTACTTCATTTTATTTCCAAATGACAGAAAACCTTTTTTCAAAAAAAAAAAAAAATGCTAAGTGCAACTTTAATAGATTGAAAGAGAAGAAAAATAGTCAATTTTTAATATTCCCTTTTGTGTCATAAGTTCCACATGGAAAAGCAAAATATTCAAAATGTAGTAAAAAAATGTTTTGGGTATTTGTGGAAAAAAAATAAATGCAACACAATGATAATGCTAATAATAGCTTCTTAAAATATAAAATATGTTTTCCACAGAGACCAAAAATTCCACGGGGGGTGGGGACTGGATGGCATGTCCCTTGGAGTTTGAAAGCCTGTCCACATGAACTGAATTATCCTTGACAAGTACCTTCAGACACTTGTAATGTGATCTCATGTAAATTTAGACCATATTTTGCACACAAACCACTGGCAATAGTAAGTTTAATCAGGAGCTCAGACAAGAAAGAAAATCTAATATCCTTAATAATTAGTAGTTAACATGAAATTTCCCAAATAAAAGGCATAAAAAATAAAAGTATTTAATGGGTTGTAGCAAATGAAAAGAAAAACAAATGCTGCGAGAACTGCTGTGTTTTCCTTTGCTTTTTTATCCCTGGCTACCTATTCTCTATAAACAAAATTTCATCTTTTGGTGGTTAATCTAAATTTGGAAATAAGTAAAGCACATGTTAGGAAATAAATAAACTGGAATATTCCATTTGCATTGAAAACTTATTTTCCAGTGTGGATAATAACTCAGTTGTAATTCCCACTGTAAAAAATTTTATATATCTTATATATATATATATATATTACATCAAGATGGTAGTTATTCAGATTTTTAGCTATTTTATTAGTAGTAATAACTGCTCATTATAATAACATGGAGGTAACAATACTACAAAAAAAAGGCTGACTGTAAAATAAAACTAAAAGATGACAGCTAGTGGGGGGCAGTTAAGGGGTGGAGGGAGTGAGCAAAAAAGAAAAAGGACCCGTGGACATGCACAGGAGGGTGGGGATTGCTGGGGGGAGGGCCATATAAGGGGACTAAATGGTAACGGGAAAAGTATAATAAAGATTATATATTAAAAAAAGACGAAGACAATTCAGAACTCTGCAGCTTAGAAGGTAGATGCTTTTGGAGTCCCTCTTGCACCGGAGCAAAGAGCCCGCAGAGCTGCGCAGGTTCTGCGGGCCCCCGCGTTCCGCGGGGCGCGGCCAGAACTGCAGGGGTTCCGCGGGGCGCGGCCAGAGGTCCGCGGGCTCTGCAGGGCCTGCTCCTCTGCGCTAGAGCCGCAGGAGGCCTGCAGAGAACCCCACCCAGAGCGCCCGCACCACCTCGCAGAGCAGTATCAGCTCTGTTTCTGTTCATTAGAGTCGCCCACTGCTATCGACGCCGGCTAATGGGTGAAACACAATATAAATCATGTCGGATTTGAGTAGTGCAGAGTGAGGGTAGACTATTTTTAGAAACTTTTGAGACGTGTCCATTTTTGTGTGACCTTAAAACCAAGGTCTTATCCATCCATGGAACAGTCAATGCCCTACGAAGATGGTTTCTATGAGCTAATTCCAAAGCAAAATATAAACTCCTCCCACCTGAATTATAATAAGCAAGATTACTCATTGGCTTCTTTAAAAATATTTTGTGAAAAGCGACATTTCAGTTTAACAAAAAATAACACAACTGGAGCATTGTTTCTAACATGCATTTTAAGTGTACTTACGAGGTATATTTAATCAATTAGCCACTTGAAATATTGAAATGCACTCTGAATTATTTAAAAAATGCAACTCAAAAATCAAGCAGGGAGCCGTTTGTAATTGCTTTGCCGAAGCAGGGCGAGTAAGTGCTCTGCCCGGGGAGCTTGAGTTTCTCCCTCTTCCTCTCGATCAATATCCGAGGCAAAGTTTCCTCTCCAGGGCCCTTAATGGCAGGGATTCCTGGAGCCAGCGGATGAGTAATGTTGAACCTGTGATTAGATGATGCGGCCATCAGAGACACCCGACCCCAGCGCGGCTCTCCTCGCCAGTCCTCGGCGCTGCCGCGGAGCCCGGGCTATGGAGCGGGGAGTTTACGCTCTATTTTTCCCATAAAAGGATTTTTTTAAAAATGTGCATCATGAAGATCCTAAAAGGTCTGGCTAGAGCTCTCAGAATGTCTTGAACTCAGGACTCTGGGATTAGGAAACAATTGTCCAACGCCTTGAAGATGAACTTGTGTTGGGATGCTGCTTCCTCTAATGTTTTTACTAATATTCTCCGGGGCTGGAAAAGGCGAAATGGGCCTAGTGATTTCCCTGAGAACATGGTCTTGAAGAAAGTAAGCCTGAAGACTGGAAAGCAATAGGTAAGTTTTTCGTTGTTCTGTTTTTGCTGATGTTTTACAGGATCTACTGAAGCCATATTGTTTTGTGTTTGGGATTCAGCCATAAGGCAGACCTCATGCCAGTAACTAGAAACAGTTTACATGCATTTTTCTTCCTATTGAGGAAACTAGGAATAAATATAATAATTACTTACTACAAAACATACTTAACCTCTTTTTTTCATTCTCTTTAATAAAATATTTATACTTAAAATAAAATTGGAATCATTAGGAGACGTGAAAGAGCTAGTGAGAAGAAAGACCATTAGTCCTTATTTTATTTATGAGAAAAGTGTGATATGTGTGTGTATGTATATATATTTGGTTTTCTTATAATTGCTAAGAAGTAATATCCAGCAATTACAATTCTATTTTTAATTCTGATTACTAAATAGAATAAGTAGATTTTTAGAATTTATACTGAAATATACAAATTCCATTTAAAAAACCAGAAAGGTATCATATCAAAGACCATTTACTAATGGTCTAATTTAACTAATTTTATCCTGTAGCTATCGCATTAAAAAAAAAACAACCTTCGTTTTCATTACCTCTAATCGAATAGAGAAGAAATCATGTAATTAATAATAAACATTAAAATTATAAATCCTACTGTATCAGCTTTAAGAGGTGTGATATAAAGAGGGTATCAGAAGATCAGCAACACATTGCACACGTACACCCCAGAGGTAAGACGATAAGGGGCGACAGAAGGCGAGGGGGGGAAGGACAGGAGAGCCACGGAGAGCCGCAGAGCGCAGGGTGGGGAGGCTACGCGTTTGCGTGGCGAGGTCATGCACAGCAGAGTGTGTCTCCATCTGGGGGGGTGACAGACGGGAGCTTAAACTACACGAACATGCACACGCATGCCCAAACATCCTCCTGCGTGTCCCCCAGCGTTGCCTGCGGTCCCGAGCGTGCACCGTACCTGCGAACACAGCAGCATGACGAGCTCCACCACGGAGGTGCTGGACTTCATGCAGACCAGGCCTGTGGCGAGAGAGAGGGACACGGTGAGATGCCAGGCAGGCGGCCCCGCTGCGCCTTGCTGGCTAGGCAGCGCCAGCGCATCTACACTTGATTCAGACCAGAACCGCTACAGTATCGTAAATGGCCACATGCACTGGCATATTTTTATAGCTAAACATCTTAATTTTCATGCTAAAAGTTTATAGCTCAATTTTTATAGTAAATTTTTATTTAAAAATATTCAGATGTTCCAGATGTGAATATTACTAAAAATTGACTCCCTGCTTGGGTTACTCAGTCAGTGCATTTCTTATATTTAAACAAGGTGGATGATTGTTGTCAAAATCAAAGAGGTGGTTAGATTTACTTTCATTACAATGGCATTTGCTATGGGATTCTCTCCTAAATTGCAGAACAATAACCACTGCAGATTTACCTAACTTTTCTTCCAAAAGACAAAATTAAAATAGGTAATTCCCAATAGGTTGTCAGTTGTTAAATAATTTTAAGTATGTTGAAAACAGGATTTTGCGCAATTAACCCATTGAGCAGAGCTTATGAAATCTTCCAGTGTTCTGCTTCCAAAGTCTCTGAACAGACACCAGGGAAAAAAGAATGAAATGAAACAGCATTTACGTAACAATGGCCGCTGCTCATGGGTCACTGGCACTGGGCTGGGCACTACGCATTGGGCACCTTAGGAACACAATCCTACTTAATTTTCACTGATACTCTGTGACATAGTATTTTTCCCCCATTCCACAGGTAAGGAAATATTACTCCAATAAACAGTTTAAACATTAATCAATCATCAAGACCTTCTCCCAGTTAGAAGGGTGATGGCTTTGTAACACCTATGAAAGGGGCAGGATGGGCACCTTTTTAAGGCGCACACCTAGGGGAAAACTAACCAAGAGATAACAACGATCTCTGGAGGATGTTGATCATGGTGTTTGCTAATTCAAAATATACTTTTAAAGTCTGTCACTGTTTATAAAATTTACTTAGTACACTTGGGCTTTCCTTTCACATGAGGGCACATGTAATCAGTAAAAGCTGTGCATAGTAAGGAGGGCCATCGTCTCACAGTAGTGGTGGCTACGTGGAGTTGTTCTTTTCCTCTTAGGGTGATTTCGGTAAACAGCCCCAGCTGCCCCTAGACGCTAGCAGGTGTGTGTGCTACCGGCGGAGGATAGATGCCGCCTTGTGCCCGCCCGCCCAGCGGTCCCTTCCTCGCTGCGTGACAGGCAGGACAAGCTGTAAGAAGGCATGAGGACCCCCTTATCCCATCGTTGGGCAGACAGTTAACTAATGAAATCAGAGGCAGATGTGAAAGCTCATTTAGGAGGCAATTGCTGTAATTGATCAGCAATTCTTATGCTCAGGAACTACAGAGGCAGAAAGACAAATGGGACATGTGTCACCTGCTGGCTACTCGACTAGCAGAAATTCTGACACAGAGAAACTAAGTAAAAGGCCATAGGCCTATGCAGCAAAAGGATCACAATTAAAATATATAATCCATGTCAATTTAGATTTTCAACTGTGAGGTTATATAAAGAACGATTAGACTACAAGGCCAAATGGAGTGACTATATAAAGAATCATTCACCACAGTCTGTGTATTAGTTTTTTAAACATGTAACAACTTGAAGTAAAAATTAGAAAAAAATATGCAATTGCATTCATTTCTCACATATTAATATTTTAAATGAACATCCAATAAAACCCTATGTAACAAGAACATTCATAATTTTTACAATACTATCATACTATCATAGGAAAATATAAACAAATGCTCCATCTATACTTTGTTCAAAGAAAATGACAACAAACGGGCAGGGAAACTGCATTTTGCGTCAGCATGCTTAAGCCCTTGACAAAGGCCGCTGTGATTTTCAGTCCACAGACCCTCACACATTTACTAATATGATTGTCTAATTAGTTTGAAACGACGTGACCTAATGGAGTCTCTTTGAAAACAACAACAACACCACACACAAAAAAACCCTAACCTTGACAATGAGAGCAGGACAGAGACAATTTTGGAAGACTTACCATCCTTCAAAAATTATATAGTCGCTTTGGTTGAAACTATTTCTAAGTGTTAACAAAAGTTTTATTAAAACGAACAGGTAAACTCCAACATTTCTTTAGAGATAGTGAAAATACAACATTGTCTGATGACACTCTAATCACTGTATACTTTCTAAATAAACAAGCAGCACATTTAAAAATTTAAGATATAATTATAAAAATGGTCTTGTATAATTTTAATCATAAGCTCAAGATAGCCAAATTTGCCTAATGATGCTATAAGTTACTGAGGCTGAATAGGGAGAAGGAAAATATTTTACAAATGTATGGCTCAAACAGGTTGAGTGTTTCTTTTTTGGCTCTGGCAAGAATTTGCTAATCAACTCCACTCTTTTGATATTACGTCATATGTGCAAAGTCTAGTGTTTGCACTCAGGAGTTTACAATAATGTAGAAGACATTATCTCTAGCAGGGGTGTTCAGCCTGTGGCCCATGGGCCACATGTGGCCCAGGACGGCTATGAATGAGGCTCAACACAATATCATCAATTTACTTAAAAGATGATGAGGTTTCTTTGGGATGACGTGTTGTAATGTATTTAATGTGTGGCCCAAGACAACTCTTCTTCTTCCAGTGTGGCCCAGAGACACTAAAAGTCGGACACCCCTGATACCTTCCCAAGTGGTCTGTATATATTAATTCAATCTAAGATTACCTAACATATACATAGAGCCTGTTATTTACAATCATTTTATATATGCTGTCTCATTGGATTGTCTTAACGACTCTGCATTAGTTATTATTAACTCATGTGACAGATGAAAGTGAAGAGATGCGGTTATGAGCCCCACATGCCATCCAGCCCGTGGTGCAGAGGCAGCTGGACTCAAGTCCCCAAACTCGCATGCTCACTTCAGGTTTGTGGCAGAGCCACTCAAAGCATCTGACATCAATAGCAGGCAAACCTGTGACTGAGAAAGGCCGTGGCGCCTAATTTCAACGTGGGGTGACGCTGACAGTTTCCTGTGGGGAAGGAGCGTATGCTCGTCGGATGTGGGGGCAAAAAGCCCCACCATGAGCAAGAACTAGAGCAGGGGCAGGGAGCCAAAGAGGGCCTGAAAGGCCTTCATTGCTTGGAGGGTGGGCGACTAGCGTGCAGCGGATGCTCGGAAGTGGGGCGGGGTCCAGGGCAGATTTCCAGGGGAGACAAGGACGGAAAGGAATAAAAGGATGTTTTTGAAAGTCAGAGGAAGAATTCCAAGGAAGTTATAAAACAGGGGAGAGGATGCTCAGGCTCAGTTATGGTGTGACTACTCCAGGATGACTGTCCTGCCTCGTCCTTGAAGAACTTGTCCCCCAGAGGACCCATATTCATACGCCAGCAAATGTACATTCACTGAGTAACCGCTCTGGCGAGAAACGCTCACTCAGTACCGCGCACCTCCTAGGTCAGGAGCATAACGTGAGCACGTGCAGCGTGGATGGGAAGCCTGAGGGAGAGGCTGGCAGGGGTGCACAGGAGGGGCTCGTGCACTTCCGGGGGGAAAGCTGGCCCGTGGGAGCTTCTGAGCACACTGCCATGAACTACACTGCTGACAGGCACAGCTGGCGGAGTGGCTGATACACAAGCACCAGGGAGGGTTCAGCAGGCAGACAGGTGTCAGGCAGTCCCGGTCTGAGCACAAAGGACGGATGGGCAGAGTTGAGTGATCGTCACCCCAAACACTAGCAGCTCTTTGGGGCTCACACTTGCCAGGGGCAAGAGGTTGCTTTCATTTTCAGAACTACACTCCCTTGCCCTGAGAAAACAAAACGAAAATGCTGTGGAACAATGAGCATGAAGTGTGGCCTCAGAACACAGCTCTGCTTCGTTCGCACAAAGGGCACTGAAGGGGACAGTGGCACTCTTTCCACGCAGAGCCATCTGGCTCGTCGGAGTCCACCCGTGGGCGGAGCGGACGTGCCTGCAGAACCAGACCACCAGGTTACAGGGGCCCCGGAGCGGGGCGACGGTGAGGGGGCACCCCAGTTCCGGTAGGGTGGCCCCCGCGGTTTTAAGCGTTACAGCAACAGCGAGGAATCCTGTCTGTAGCTGGGCTTGGCCTTTTCAGGGCCAGTGCACTGCCCTGAGCAGGGCCCTCAGGAGGGCAGACAGCAGGCCTGCAGGGGTCTCACTGCTCCGATGGGTCTGCAGCGCCACCACTGAAGCGAGAAAACCTAGAAACCACCACTCACCGAGTGACACTATAGTTGATAGAGAAAAAAATAAGATTTTCAGGAAAAATAAGAGGGCCTTTCTTGGTATTTTTTTTAAATTGAACAAGAACCCAAGTCACTCAAAAAGCATTTATGAGCATGTCTGTTGTGCTGGACACCATGCCAGGTACTACCTTGCAGTACAAGTGAGGAAGTGGGACAGATCATGTGCACAGAGCCCCGACACCCAGTCCCGGAGGCACCCGGAGAGCACAGGCGCAGATGCGCAGGAAGAGGGAAGGGCCTCTCTACTGCGAGGAAGGACAGAGGATGTGGCCTTGGACCGGGACGAAGGGGAGCGGACCTGAACTGACAAGGGACGGAGGGAAGGACCCCTGAGGGGAAAGAGAAATGAGAGGGGTGCAGAGGAACAGCTGGTGAGACGGAGCTGGGGCGTTCAGCTGGGGAGTGCGGACGGGGATGAGGACAGAGAGGGACAGGAGGCACACAGGGCGCCTGTCCCTACTGGCGACCGGGCACTGCCCGCTGGAGGGCCTCAAGCTGGGGCAGAGGGCACCCAGCGCACCCTGGAAAGATCGCTGCCGGCCCCACCTCCCACAGAGGCGGGGGATTGGCTTTCTAATTTTAAACCAAAACCCAAAACCAAACAAAAAAAACCCATATTAAACATCTTTTAAAATAACAATAATGGCTTCAATTTGTATTACTGCTATAATTTACACATATACACACACATATATATATATATATATAGTATGACTTACTA